CGTGTGAATCTCATGGTGGGCCTAACGATCCTCGGGTGTCGTAGCCTCTGGAAGGCCATGAAGCAAGGTCGCCGCGGCGGCGATGTTCTGGCTTGCCTGGGTGAAGCGAGGGAGGGCTTCATCGCCTACAATGATCCTTCGGTTCACATCACAGGCCATGGCATGTGCGCGCCCACCGTCTCCGTGGCACTCTATCTCCTCATCGAGCCCCGCGCATTCCTGCTCGAGCTAGAGTCGCGCTTCCTTGATCTTTCGGTGTCGGGCTTTCAGCTGCTCCATCGGCATATGTGGTAGGGCCACTGTCTCCCTCTTGGCCTCGTCGTCGGGGTCATTTGTTGGGGTAGCTTCCCCCTCGTGGATGCTTTCGACGTGCCCCTCGGGGGTACCCACCATGAAGCATTCACGAGAGGGGTGATGGCTTCCCCTGTTGGAGTCGGAGCCAGAGGGCGACTCTGGCTCCTCTGCCAAGAGGTCGTGGAAAGATTTCGTGACGTGTTCGATCACCCCCATGAATTCATCGTTCGTGGGAGGAGGAACCATGCGTTGCGCCACAACGTGGCTAACGGTCGCCATGGCGTTGCGGAGACCGAATGGAAACACTGTCGGGGCGCTCCGTATGAGGTGTTCCGGAGAGAGGGGTTCCCCTCTGGCGAGCCACGCCATGTCGTTGGCGTAAGAGAAGGTGAGGCGGCGCAGGTCCTCCCTAGACGGCTGGGTCCCAGGGAGACACCGAGCTGGCGTTCAAACCTCCCGTAGTCGAGGCCGATGGAGGGGAGAGGTTGGATGGCGGCGTGAGCCAATGCCAACTCTCCTCCCACCGTGATGATGAAGTCTAGGTTCCCAAAGCGCACGTGTGCGCCCGGGACCTAGCTGATATCGTGGCTAGCCATCCCTGGCCTAATGTTAATGTCGGAACGCGCAAAGGTCCCTTACCTGGCGCGCCAACTGTCGGTGTTTCGAGTAAACTCCAACGAGTAAATTTGTGTTATTGCGCGTCTGACCCGGATGGTGTGCTAAAAGACACAAGGTTTATACTAGTTCAGGTAGAATATCTCTATGTCCAGTTCGTGGCTGCTGCTCGTGTTATTAGCACTGAAAAGTTCGTAGTAGGGTTACAAACGGGCGAGAGAGGGAAAGGTCCAAAGTCTTTGATGGAAAGGTCGAATGGGCACTGAGAGCTTGGTCACTGCTCAGCTATGTGTGATGTGATGTGTGGTGCCTTGAATCGATCTGTCCCCCTTTAGTGGGGTGCCTTGTCCTCCCTTTTATAGGCCAAGGGAGAGCAGGGATTACAGATGGGAGAAAAAAAGGAAAACTAGAGGCCAAGGAGGTCCTTCAAAGATGCCGGGTCTTCCTTTTCCTCTTAGCGAGCCTCGCTGACATGACAGATGGTGCTAGGGATAGCTCCATGCTGGGTGCTTGTTCGCTGATCCTGATAGGGCCGCGCTGGGCGTCTGTCCGCTGATGATGCCATGTTCTGGCTTTATCAGCAAGTGGTCACGTCCCATCCCGCCCCGGCGGGCAGCGCGACGGACCAGGGTGCAGATCCGCGACCCTACGGAGAGCAGACGGCGCAGTGACCACACGTCCGTACTGTAGATGATGCGAGTTTCCTCCTTGACCGTAGTGGTTGTCATATGCTTCCGTCAAGATCCGCGCCCGAGGGCAAATGGCGGCGCCCACAATACTGTAAGACAAATGTTGACGCCTACAACACTATTCGGGCTCTGACATGCCTAAAAGGGTTTAAAGTGCCCGTCTTGTCATATCGTGATGGTACTTTTCTGCAGGCGTGCAGGGTATGGTCCTCGGTATTACAGTTGACTTGAGTGCCCTACCTTATCTGCGCGCGTAGTTATGAAGGAGCAACGCGCAGACATCGAGCAAGGCGGAGTCAGCCCCTGGACGTCGGGCGAGGCGGGGGGCGGAGACAGCCCTCGGGGGTCGGACGAGACGGAGTCTGTCCTCAGACGTCGGGCGAGGCGGAGCTAGCCCTTGGGAGTCAGCTTGAGGTGGGGCCCATGGCCTCGGTGGACAGACGAGGAGTGACCCGGCAAGCGGTGTAGTCGCATTCTCGATCGTGCGGATGAATCAATGTTGACGGTCATTAGCTCCTCCTCTTCGGTTACCCTAATATTGGTCCTCGACACTAATAAAAAAATTCTTATAGACAAATAAGAGACTATTATTGTATAGCTTGGCTCTTGCAACTTAGCTAATAGCCAAACACTTGGCTCTATTATTAGCCTTGCCCTAAGATGACGTTTGGTTCAGCACAACTTAACATAAATCAGATTACAGAGGGGGGGGTCAGATGGCAATACAGCTGCTTTGTTGATCCAAGTCCGTTATGAGGTACCCTGCAATCAAATGACGGGCCATCCATGGCCGATACCGTCCCTCTGCGAGTCCAACCGCATTACGCTGCTGCTACCAAAATTTGTTTCCCTTGCTATTAACGAAACAAATTGCGAAAATCAAGATCCCCATGCATTCCCTGCATGACCTATTTTCTTTACCATTTACGTTACCCGCCAACCATTTACGTTACCCACCAGCAAACCAAACGCGTTGTAAGTTCCTAAAAAATAATCTAAGAAATCCTTAGTGCCATCACGGTAACCATTTCTTTAGCAAATGTTCACACAAAAACACAGGGTCTTTAGTTTGTAAGAATGAAACATATACTAGACACACCAACAAGCAAATCATAGTTGTCACTCAAGGAACTTGCAAGCAACAAGATGTAAAGCAAGTAAAGAGCATGCACAATCTAAGATGCAAATCGAAATCATACTCAGTTATTGTTGGAGCTGCCCTTAGAGCACTCCCAATATAGAAACCATGATAGTTTTTATAGACATTACATACACTGCCATGTAAGCATTTTACTGAGGTGGCACACTGTTTATTGAAGAGAGAGGAAAACAAAAAAGAAGAAACGGAGTCTAAATAGGAAACGACGTCTACGCACACCCCCAAGATCGAAGAAACTGCTCTGTATCGCGTTGGGATGGAGCTCGCGGTGCGGAGCTCGCGGCTGGGCGTCCCAGCTCGCCACAGCCGGCCGGCGCCGCAACCCTCGGAGCTCGCGGCCGACCCGCCCCGGCTCGCATGCGGCCGCGCCGTTGCGTGCGGAGCTCGCGTATGGCCGTCCGGCGGCGCCGCCTGCAGAGCTTGTGGCCGCCTCGTCTCATGCCCTGTTCGTTGGGCTGATAAGTCATGGCTGAAAGTACTATTAGCTGATTTGTTGTGAGAGAAAAATACTATTCGTTGACTGAAAAAGTACGGCTTATAAGCCAAGTGAACAGGGCGTCGGCTCGCCGCGTCCACCCCGGATTCTGCAGCCCAGCCCTGCGGCCTTTGGCTGCGTTCAGCTGGTGTCAAAACCAGCCGGATTTCACTGTTCCCAGATGAAAAACACTGCTCACGCTCTTATAAATTCTTTGAGATTGCTCCAGATTCCTTCAAACGAACAGACACTTTGTTTGCCGCCACCGCGAGCTATCACATCACGTGCAAGGCCTTGGTCTCCCCAGCGTACTTCGACAGTTTGGTCATTGGTGGGCATCGCCAAGGCCACACCACACGGTGTTCGTCTGCAACCGTGCAGCTGCAACCAGCAGGGAGTTCGTCGCACTCCCGTGCGCTTGCTTCCTCTCAGTTTTGACCAATGGCACAACAGCCGCCCGTGTGGTGCTCGATTCGCTGGAGCCGAGGCAGCAGGTGCTCGAGAGATTGCCGCGCCCGTGTGGCGGAGTGTGGGGAAGACAGTGAGCGGGAGCAGAAGATCAGGGGAAATAGGGATCGATGATTGGCCAGATCCAAAGCCAGAAAAATTGCATCGTAGAGAATAGTTTCATGACACGGTGTCCTAACGTATGGTTTCTGTGAGTGCCGTTTACCCACTGGACAGAACCGACCAGGTCTGACTTTTCCGTTTTCCACGGTAGGATTCTAGGTGGCCAGACACACCGCATCTAGGAGCAAACGGCTTCGAGGAAGCACTGATCCAAGTCCGCGTTCCACGGGCCTAGCTGCCGAGCTGCGGATAGGTGCCCCACCAGTGGCTCCTTGCGAGAGCTCAGCCCCGCCGATCACGCACTGGCGAGCAACAGGAGACTGGTCCCCATCAATCAGCATGGGCGTGACCGTGATGGGCCGTCCAGCATGCCAGGCCAGCAGGGGATAAACTCGTCAGTTTGACGACCGGCGAGTTCGGCCGAAAGCCCCACATAGTAGCTGATAGCCCCTTCACATGTCCGCTGGCATTTTGCAATCACCGATCTGTGCTTCTCTTCCGCTGTTCTTACGTACTACTCCAGTACAAGCCGTTGCTCACCGGCAGGTAGCAGGAAGCAGTTGATACATGGCTTTTTGCACTTCTGCAAACATCATCACGATGCACGTGAAAAATCTGGTTTTTATACGAGTGGCATTCTTATCCGTTATAAACATCAAATGGGCGATGGAAGACTTTGACCTGGTCGAAGATTCATTATGCAAGCGTGCAATGTTGCTCTACGCCACTGCTGTTTCGTGCAGAAGAATGACTCTTTACTCATTGAGGCTAATATTTTTTTTTCCGAGGGAAATCATGCGGCGCACTTTATTGATTATTGAATAAATTTACATTGTTTACAAGGCTTTCAAGAATAAAATCAGGGGTTCATCAACCCAAATACAATTTTCTTTTGTTGACAACGCTACTTTAGCTAACTCATGCGCCACTTTATTGGCTTCCCGATCGCACTGATCTAGAGAAATTGCTTCAAAATTCTGTCATAGCTACAAACATTCATCAAAGATTGGCGCTCCTGCTGTAGATGAGATACCACTTTTCATGGTCTCCACAATTTCCATACAATCTGAATGTACAATGAAACCATTGCATCCCATCTGTAAGCTAACAATTTATAAAGAGAAACAAAAAGAAAAACAGTTTTATTAATAGGATTCTTCACGGGCCTGGCAGCACCAGATTTTTTCGGCCTTGGGCCATGGCTCAACCCAACAACAGGCCACTAAGCCCAACCCACCTGCTTCATCTCGGGGCTCGGGCTTTCTCGGCCATGGAGGCCACAAGCAATCAGGAGGCGGTGAGATGCGGAGGCGCAGGCGATGGCGATGGCGATGTCGACGGCGACGATGAGGCGAAGAGGAAGGAGGCGGCGCTTGCATCAAGCAGGCTCCTCGACCCGGGGTTCAAGCCCTCCAAACTATCCCAGGACCGGCTCGACAAGTTTAAGGTGCCCTTCTGGCTTCTGGTGCTGCATTTCTCCAAACGTTCGATAGTGATCTTTTGCTGCTCCTGATCCACACATGGGGATGGTTGTTCTAGATTTTAATCTTTGTAAAGTTCGTGGATGTCAGCAGGCTGAGTTCGTTAGGTCGGGGAATTGGTCCCGCTACTTAATTTTCGACGCATAGATGAACACGTTGGGGATGTTGTAGAGTTGCTGGTCGATGATATGTTTGTGTTGCTATTGTTCAATAATTCACTAAACTCTATACTTCAGTGAAGTATAGGTTTTGTACCATAGGCATGAATCTGTTGCCTGGTTATGCAGTGTGTATGCTGTTATGGTCTGCTAGTAATTGGGAAGTGTACCCTACTGTGCCTGTTTGCATGACGGAGAATTAGATCTAAATCCTTACGATTTGGTACAGATTTGAAGTGAGTCCCAAAAATTCTGCTCCCAAACAGTAGCCTGGTGTTTTGTAATTTATGGAAACCCAGATGATCTTAAATGTTAAGGTTGGGGGGTTTTGTTTTTATTTTTTTTGGGTTGTCAAGCAAATTCTGATTCTGCAGCCATTGGAGCAAAAGTTTGAGCTGACATATATTTATAACTTCAAAGTGTCTTGAAGAGTTCAGATACAGCAACATAGGAATGAAATGATTATATTCTTTAAGAAACCTAGGGATAGTTAATTTTATTTAATTCAAAGTTGCTTTGTAGAGGAAAAAAAGGCTGATACCAGCTATATACATAAAAGCACATTGAATCTATCAAATCGAAGAGACACCCAACTGAGAAAAATGTAGCAGTAGCTCTTCTAGACTTCTTTTCTTTTCGAGGCTTTTAGAAGCGTTGAATGTAATCCTTATCTCGTCAAGTCTAGGGACCTAGATTGGATGTGATAAACGTTCCATGGTTCACTTTTTGACCTATTTTATCTGTCAAACCAAAGTCTTCAGCCCATTGATATCAGTTCAGTTTCGTGAGAAATCTCAAATCAGTAAGTACAATTTGTGGGTCTCTAGAACCTCAGCCTGAACGAAATGACAAATATTCAGACATGTAATGTGTGTTTTCTTATGGCATTATGTTCTCCTTCATAATATCCATTTTTCATATAATTGATTATTTTATTCTGAATTTACTAGGTTACAAATATTTAATATGTCATGTGATGCAGGAATTACACAAGAAACGGTTACAGATAACTGAAAAGCCAAAGTATAAAAGAAAACCGAAAGGTACCTGTCTCTCCTGCATGTCTTCTTGTTTAGCCATGCTAGTTTTCTACTCACCAATCAGAGGATCTAATTCTTTAGGAACCACTGGGAGAAGTATCAAAGTAACCAGCGATTATAAATTCACTGATCAGGATGCATGTGCTGATAGTTCTCCAGGAGATGTACATCATATGTCATCAGTTACAGGAATCCAAGGGGTATGCCTGTTTATACTGAATGTTGGGCACTATTTTTTGACTTAATTCTGTAACCAATGCTTTTTCTTGAATCTTTCGACAACAATAAATAAACAGCCAAAAAAAGGGGACTACAGTAACGATAATCTCTATTACTGTAGCATTTGCTTCACCGCTTCCAGTACCCTTCGGATTGGTCTTAGGTATTGCAAGTTGTTCCAAGCAAGGCAACAAACTACTTTATTGGAAGTTCTAGCCATTTTTGTGGCGAAGCACAAACGATTTGCATAATATATTTCACAGGTATCACACGATGATAGTTACCACTTTAATGGCAGTCGAGCAATGAACTAAGAGCCTGCTTGGTTGGGTTCCAAAACTTTCCCAACCAAAAGCATGGCAAGCCAAAACTTAGGCTAAAGTGTAGGCATGCATTTGGTTGAGTGCCAAGACATGGCAGCAGCGCTCTTCTCTCCTGTGAGATTAAAGAAGTTCCTAGTGACTTGCCAACATTTTGGCTATAAACATTGGTATGCTGTGTGCCATTTTTTGGCAATGAACCAATTGATAGCCAAAGTTTTTAGTCATGCCTTAATTTTGGCTGGGCATGTTTTGGAACCTGAACAAGCAGGCCCTAAATGGTAAAGTAACTTAGTGGTTTAGTTTAGTTTTTAGGCACAAGATGCAAAAAGTCTAACAGCATCAGAATGCCATCAAGCAATTGTTCAATGATTACATAGAATTGCATACAGATAATCTTTTCTTATGCTATTTTTTTCCCGGTGCTCTTTGGCTGTCTGACACTCAGATATTCATCAACATGATATGAGAAAACATTAACATTTCCTTTTGTTGACTTTGATATCCATTGAGTAGATTTGGTTGCCTTTAAGTGGTGAGCCAAGTCAACTTCGCATCCTCAAAGATATTAATTTGACCACAGTTCATATATCATTATGAATACTCATCTCCTCTAACCATACCTTACACTTGCGAGTTCATTCAATAATCGTGATGGTTTTACCGCCATATATTTACAGGATCCTGCATCAGGCCTGTCCTCGAGGAACAAAAGGAAGCTACATTGGGGGTATTTTTTTTCATTATTGTATCATGCTTCTGCACTCTTATGTTTTTCTTAACTTGTTTAGTACGGTCTTAACTCCACTGCTTCACCTTTCATTATTCAAAGGATTTGTTTGAATTGCACAATTCCCTTTAGGAACGCAAACCTTTTATATTTTTCAAAAGGTTTGATAGCACTGGTCCACCTTTCATTGTTATTAAAAAAGAAACACAGCTTGACTTGTCAACTTCGATATGTGGGGGAAAACTAAGACACAAAGGTTTCTTGCTGCGATTTGGTGATAGATATAATCTATCTGTGTTGGTAACTTTAAGATTTCTATCAACTTTGTCTGCTGATCATGACTGCATGAGGTCTCTCAGCCATCAAGAAATTTATGCGATTTGAACCACGAGAAAGTAAAGTTTAAAGCAGAATTATCTTGCTTCTAATGGCCACGAGAAAGTAAAGTTTAAAGCAGAATTTTCTTGCTTCTGATGAAATGTGTGGTGATAACAGTCGAGCATCGTGTGACATTATTGTGACCACATTTCATGCTGAAATGATAGTTTGTTTATCACTTTCACTTCCTGTGAAAAGCGCCAATGGTAACCTCATGTGTCTCATCTATTTCAGGCTTGATATTAAAGAACGATGGGAAAGGAAGGCAAACATGTAAATGTTTGAAGATCCAACAACAAAAGCATATCCACACCGCACTTGATTGAAATTTGAAAGCAGGAGGACAAAAGAAAGTGGCAGGCCTTTTCCACGGATCATCAGGTTGCTGGTAGGTTCGTGTTTTTGTCAGCAAGCAGAACACTGGAGCGTAAACAGGAGTCACAGAACTGAGCAGCAAGTTATAGTATCTGATTTTCAGTGTTTTGTCTGATGTTTTCTCCAGATCTTTTGTTGGACTTTGCTCTGTTGTATTATCTGATCCAAACTTGCAATTGCGATGATAATTTGTTTATCGGTTTCGCTTGCTGTTTTGTGTGTGTGTGTGTGTGTGAAAGCACTGAAGGTGCAACAGAGGCTCACGTGTAGGGTCAAGGCTCCGCAACCTTTTGCAAGGCCTAGCAGGCCCGCGTTGATTTGGGCCCTTTTCCCTTGTAATTATTATTATGTTTATGATCAGGAGTGGAGCCAATCATGATCACAGATGTTGTCGTGTAAACATTATTTCTCATATAGTACTTCTTACTTTGCTCAAAAAAATATAGTACTTCTTACAACTTGCTGGTGCAGCTTGTTTACAAAAAAAATGAAGCAGGTGAAGGCAAAACGTGCAATAAGTTATCGATGGTTTGCATACAGATCGCCGCCAGGATTTGTCCCATTTCTAAACCCTGGGCGCCTTCGGCCTGGTCAGCGCTATGGTTTCCGTTCGTACTATGATATCCGGTCAACGCAAGTATATTATATATGTACTTTTTTTCTCGAATAACATTGTATTATGAGGGCCGTAACATTGTATTAAGAGAGTAAGTGGTGTGTGTGTGTGTGTGGGGGGGGTTGACGGTCCTGTATACATATTATATATATGTGCTTGAAGTTGTATCTGCAAACTTGCAGCGAAATACTGGCGTAATTCTGTGTCATATCTATACAAAACAAAATATTTGAGTTAAACGCTGCACGTTTGATAAAGAATGAAGTATATACGTGTAACGTGTCTTGAGAGAACGGCGGAAATATGCACGGAACGTTGGGCCGGAGCAAACCGATGGATGGCTAGAGGTCAACAGCTGTCATCATCACTCATCAGAAACTGTGGGCTCGTCGCTCGCCGCCGCTGATACCATTTTCAGTTTCATCAGCAATAAAAATATGACAAACTGCCCAAAGGTTATAGAGAGCAAAAGGAGAAACGAATTTTATTCGTACTACTACGAATAGCTTCTCGAGAGGCCGTATGTAGCATATGCATAGCCGTGACGTTTTTTTTAAACCTTTTTCTAAAACAAATTCCAAATCTAACACCGTTGCTTTTTTTATTTTCACATAGAACACTTTTGGCCGCACCAAAGTCCGTGGCACGCGGCCAAAACACGCTGTCATGCCACATGCATCGACGCGGCACGATCTGCCACGTCGGACAGCGATTTTCACGTGGAAATCCTCACCGCGCCACTGCCGTTGACGCGACAGCACTGTAGCACCACGCCATCTAGACCGGCGTGGCAAGGCACAACATTAGAAAAAAATTATATATTTTTTATACGATATTGGATGAAGATGATCTTTATATAAAAAATATAGCTCTCGACGAGATCTACAACTTTCTAGTTTTGAGTTTTTTTATTTGAGGTCGTTAAGATGCTCAAAAAAATTAAACAACGTTTCAGCAGTATATTAATCGCGTACAAGCCCTTGTCGTCTTAGAAAAATCATATCGTTCTTATATTGTGTCAAATGGAGATACTTTCTATATGAAAGTTGTAGCGCTAGATGGGATCTACAAATTTGTAGTTTTGAGTTTTTGCATTTGAAATCATTAAGATGTTTAAGAAAAATAATATAAAATTTCAGCGTCATATTAATCGTGTACATGCACTTGTCGTCTTGGAAAAATCATATCGTTCTTAC